AGTAGGGGGCACAGGTGGTGCATCAGCAAGTCGTCTCAGTCAGTCGACCCGTGGCACTTGGGTCTGCCCCGTGACCTCCTGCCAGCAGGCGTTCAACACTTCACGTGGCCTCAAGGTGCACATAGCCTGGCACAAGCGTCGTGGTGACGTCACCGTCACTTAGTGGCGAATAACGGTTGTTGTTGTTGTTGGTGGAAGTGCTGGTGGTGGTGCTGGTGGTGCTGGTTGTGGTGTTTGTGCTGGTGGTGCTGGTAGTGCTGGTGGTGCTATTGGTGGTGCTGGTGGTGGTGCTGCTGGTGGTGGTGCTGCTACTGGTGGTGCAGGTAGTGCTGGTGGTGGTGCTGCTGGTGGTGGTGCTGGTGGTGGTGGTGCTGCTACTGGTGGTGGTGCTGCTACTGGTGTTGGTGCTGGTAGTGGTGGTGCTGGTAGTGCTGGTGGTGCTGGTAGTGCTGGTGGTGCTGGTGTTGTTGGTGCTGGTGGTGCTGGTGGTGGTGCTTGTAGTGCTGGTGGTGCTGGTGGTGGTGCTGGTGGTGCTGGTGGTGCTGGTGGTGGTGCTGGTAGTGGTGGTGCTGGTGGTGCTACTGGTGGTGCTGGTGGTGGTGCTGGTAGTGCTGGTGGTGGTGCTGGTGGTGCTGGTGGTGGTGCTGGTAGTGATTGTAGTGGTGGTAGTGGTGGTAGTGGTGGTGCTGGTAGTGCTGGTGGCGGTGCTACTGGCGGTGCTGGTAGTGGTGGTGTTGGTGCTGGTGGTGCTGGTAGTGCTGGTGGTGCTGGTAGTGCTGTTGGTGCTGGTAGTGCTCGTGTGCTACTGGTGGTGCTGGTAGTGCTGGTGGTGGTGCTGGTAGTGCTGGTGGTGGTGGTGCTGGTGGTGGTGCTATTGGTGGTGCTGGTAGTGCTGGTGGTGGTGGTAGTGCTGGTGGTGCTGGTGCTACTGGTGGTGCTGGTGGTGTTGGTGATGGGGCAGTTGTGGAGAGAGTGGAGAGTTTCCCATACCTGGGCAGTGTGCTTATGACCGGCTCCAGTTTAACAGCAGAGGTCTCACTCCGAATCAGTCGAGCGGCAATATCTTTTTATCGGTTGCGTAACGCTGTGTGGAAGCTATCTGGTCTGTCGCTCCGCACTAAGCTTCAGGTCTTCTCGGCCACGGTCATTCCCTCCCTTCTCTACGCTTGCGAAACGTGGACTCCCTTAATGGAGCATCTTCGCCGGTTGGAAACATTTAGGCTGGCCTGCCTACGATCCATCCTGGGGTTAACCAGGCTGGATTGTGTGAGGAGCTCACAAATCCTTGAAAGATGTGGACAAAGTCCCATCGGTGAGCTCCGCCGGCGGGCAAGGCTGCGTTGGCTGGGTCATGTAGCCCGCATGCCCAGCCAACGCATGTCGAAACACCGTTTGTTCGGCCGGATCGAGGGGGCTAGACGGGCGCGGCACGGGCTAGAGAAGAGATAGAGTGATGTGGTACAGGAGGACGTGGAGCTGAGTGGACTTGCCGATGACTGGTACCAGCGGTGTCAAGATCGGCCTCTGTGGAGGAGGCTCGTGAAGGACGCTACTGGGCAGTTGGAAGCAGTCGCCCTCCAACAACATCGGAGGGCGGAGGAGCGACGCTCACAACAACGAGCGGAGCGCCGGGTGGCTACAGCACAGCAGGTTGGCACAGTAGGGGGCACAGGTGGTGCATCAGCCAGTCATCTCAGTCATCTCAGTCAGTCGACCCGTGGCACCTGAGTCTGCCCCGTGACCTCCTGCCAGCGGGCGTTCGACACTTCACGTGGCCTCAGGGTGCACATAGCCTGGCACAAGCGTCGTGGTGACGTCACCGCCACTTAGTGGCGAATGGCGGTTGTTGGTGGTGCTGGTGGTGGTGGTGCTGGTGGTGCTGGTGTTGGTGGTGGTGCTGGTGGTGCTGCTGCAGCGGGCGAAGGCCCTCGTCGACTCTGCTTCGGCCCGGGACTGTGCTGAGCGCGTGACGCCGTGCGGCCCTTGAGCTCGTCAGCTCGCGAGCGATGTTCATATTTATAGTTGCCTTATCGTGGCCCGTGCCACGGGGGGCGAGAGGGGCACAGTCGTCACGGGGGCCCAGCGGTGGTGGTGCTGACAGCGCGTCCCTGACACCTCGCGCCGTCACCGCCACGGCGACTTCGTTCCTCCGCCATCGCCAACGGCGACTTCGTTCCTCCGCCATCGCCATAGCAACCCGTCATTTCACCACCGCCATCGCCATAGCAACCCATCATTTCACCACCGCCGCCGCCATGGCAACCCCCTCATTCCCCAATGCGGGGGAGGGGGGGGGGTCCCACGTGCACTCCGAGCGTGGATTTTTGGTGGCCTACCGAGCGGGCAGAATCCACGGAGGGGCAGAGGAGGCTCCCTGCCGCTGCCACCCCTCCCCTGCCCCTCGCCACGCCGATCCCCTGAGCGGCGTCACCACGAGCGCCGCTTGACACCTGTCGGAGGAACCCTCCGACACCGTCGGAACGGTGCCGTCGAGGTTCCTATGGGGTGTCCGCGTGACCTCGAGCCACGCCGGCCCCCGGCACACACCGAGGAGGAGGTGTGTGACCGCGAGTTCGCGACGCGGACGACGACCGGGGCCGAGGGACTCGGCAGGTGGTGATGTTGGAGGTGGGGGTGGTGGTGGTGGAGCAAGTGGTGGGGGGCCACGGTGGCTAAGAGATGTTGACTACCTCGCCTGGTATACGGGGGTCGTGGATTCTTTTCCCAACCCTGACGATGCCTGCTGCTGCTGTATATTTGGAGTCTGCGTCTCTCTCTCTCTCTCTCCGTGGTCGCGTGGATTTTTCTCCACATTTAGAAACGTGCGTTTAGAGTATTTGGCTGCTTTTAATTTCCACATGATAAGCCACTTCGTTGGGCTATCATTTGTTGCCATGTGGCTTCTGAAAACGATCTACACAGCTCAGTGGGGCTTACCTGGTTGAAAAAAAAAGTTTAGTTTTGGTGATGACGGAGGGAGTGTTGCTGGTGACGGAGGCGGTGTTTTTGGGAGCGCGGTTGAGGTGTCAGAAGTGACGATGGTAGAAATGCGTTGGGAGGCAGCGGTGGAGGCGGTGGTGAAAGATGGTGGTGGAGTTGGTGGTGGTGAAGGTGGTGGAGTTGGTGGTGGTGGAGTTGGTGGTGGTGGAGTTTGAAGTGGAGTTGGTGGTGGTGGATTTGGTGGTGGTGGAGTTGATGGTGGTGGAGTTGGAGGTGGAATTGGTGGTGGTGGAGTTGATGGTGGTGGAGTTGGAGGTGGAATTGGTGGTGGTGGAGTTGGAGTTGGTGGTGGTGGATTTGCTAATGGAGGTTGAGTTAGTGGTGGTGGTGGAGACTGAGGATTTGGCAGATATGACGATGATGGTGGTATACGTGGTGGAAGAGTTGGCGGTGGTGCAGGCAGTGGCTGAGAGAGTGGTATTCGTGGTGGTAGAAGAGGAGGTCGTGGTCGAGTTGGTGGAGGTTGGGGTATCGGGGGAGGTGGTGGAATTGGAGATAGAGGAAGTGGTGGTGGTGGTGGCTGTTTTGGTGGCGCTGTCCGTGAGCCGAGATGTCACCCCGCTATCGCCACTGCGGGCGCCACTCTCCCTCCCCCTCGCCCCATCTCCCCCCCTCTCCCCCTCTCTCTCCCCCTCTCCGTGTCCACAACAACGCAAGGGGTCATCGTCGACCTCACGTCCACTCCGGCGCCGGCGATCACGCGACGCGTTCACGCGCGGCGGGGGGGGGAGTCGATCAAGCGCTTCTGTAAGGCGGCAGCACCAGCAGCAGCAGAAGCAGCAGAAGCACCAGGAGTAGCAGCAGCAGCAGAAGCAGCAGGAGCAGCAGGAGCAACAGCAGCAGCACCACCAGGAGCAGCAGCAGCACCAGCGGCAGGACGAGCAGCAGCGGCAGCATGCGCCCGGATGGCATGGGTCCGCGCGTGGGGGTTGCGGTGGCGCTGGCGAGCGTCGTGCTCGTCTTCGGCTTCTTCTTCGCCATGGCCGGCGTGCGCGGCGAGCAGCTGCACGGGGTCCCGCTGCTCCTCGTCGGGGTGCTCGTCATGCTGCCCGGCGCCGTCGTCATCGCCGCGATCCGCCGGACGCGCGGCTGCCGGCATCCGCCCGCGTGGCTGGCGGCGCTGGCGCTGCGCGGTCGAAGGGGGGGCACCGGTGGCACCGCCGCCGCCGGCATCGCCGGCACCGCCGGCACCGCCGACACCGCCGCCGCCGGATGCCTAGGGCCCAGCGAGTGCGCGGCGGGCGCGGTCGCCGCGACCGGCGGAGCCGCCCCGACTCGCGAGCGGCTCCAGGGGCAGCTGGCACCGCCGAGCGGACTCTGCCCTCCGGATCCCTGCCTCTCTGGATCCCTGCCCTCCGGATCCCTGCCCTCTGGATCCCTGCCCTCCGGATCCCTGCCCTCTGGATCCCTGCCCTCCGGATCCCTGCCCTCTGGATCCCTGCCCTCCCAATCGGTGCGAGCTGCGCGAGACGGACGTTTGATGGGCCCACGATACGCTCACACGCGCACCGCGCCAGAACCGCACCGCAACAGCTACAACAGCCAGGCCTGGTGCACTCCGAGGTCACCCCCCCCCCCCCCACACACAAACACCACGCCTGGCTGCCTTTGTCTCCCCAATGGCGATGTTTTTACGCACCGCACCAGGTACTCATTTTTGAGACTGAGTCGACCTAGGGGAGGCCCAAGACCGGATTAGATAATCGTCACTGGTGTCAACCGTGAGCGGGAGTCGAACTCGGGTTGCCGGGTTGGTAGCGCAGCGCGCTAACCGCTACACTGCACATAGACACACAGCACCACACACACAGACAGCACCGCACTACACACACAGCACCACACTACACACACACAGCACCACACACACACAGCAACACACACACACACACAGCACCGCACTCACACAGAGCACCGCACACAGACAGAGCACCGAACACACACACACAGCACCGCACACACACACATAGCACCACACAAACAACACCACACAGACAGCGTGCTTACTGGGGTCATGAACTTTACTTCACACAAACGAGGCCATACAGGGAGCTGCGGTGACTCGGGAGCCCGGCGGATTTGTCCACCCCGTGTCGCTGCGCAGGCGAAGGAAAGGGATGATGCGGAGATCGCTGCTGCTGATGCGGCTGATTCTGATGATGATGATGATCACGATCGTGAGAGACAGAGAGAGAGGAACGGAGCGAGCGAGCGAGCGAGCTTGCGGTAACGTCGAGACCCGCGGTGTTGAGCGGCGGTGGCCTGTGAAGTCACCGCCTCCGCACTCGGCTGTCCCACCCCTGCGGGTGCTGGCCGTGTGGGTGGCGGGGTTGTCGCGGCGGGGAGCGATTCTGCTCCGGGTCCACCCCACCGGGGAAACGCCGCTCGCCCCAACGCGCAAGCCGAGGCGCCGTCGACGACCGGCGGGCGATGGAAGCGACAAAACTAACGAACAGACGCGCGCATTGTTTACGTCCACACACACACACACATATATATTTGTATATATAGAAATACGTGCGCATTTCTCGCGTGGGCACGCGGACGAATCGTCCGGTTGGGTGGTGTCCTCTCTCCCTGCGGCCGCGTCACGCCGTGGGTGTTGGCGTCTCCCTCCCCTCCAGCCACCACGTCACCATATCGCCTTTGCCCTGCGTGGACACGGACGGCCTCAGAGACTCACCCCGGGGGCCACGGCGCTCTCAGCGAGCGCAGCACGCGCCCGCGGAGGCCGCAACGAGCTCACGAGCGGGCCCGGGCGCCTTTGTCTCTCTTCCACTCCCCCCCTCCTCCATCCCCCCCCCACCCTCCGCGCGCCTCGTCGATCCACGGTCGTTCCTCCGAGGCGCACGCGCGGCTCACCTTGATGGTGATGGTGCCACGGCAGGTCAGGAAGTAGCCCCCAATCGTCTCCAGGATGGACCGGGTGTTCAAAGTCACCTGGATCTTCAAGGCTGCAGAAAGGCAAAGGCAAAGACACCCCCCCCCCGCCCACACCGTGTAGCCTGTAACACATTGTAGGGGCAAGTGCTGTTAGCGAGCAACACCTGTGAAGGCCGGAACGGCACACGGGGGGGTGGGTGGCCAGCACCGCGCCCGGCCGCCTTTGTCTCCCCAGCGACGATGTTTACTACGCACCGCTCCGAGTACTCATTTTGAGACTGAGTCGACCTAGGGGAGGCCCAGGACCGGTTCAGATTAATCGCCACCGGTCTCATTCTTTGGAGGAGTGTGGTCTGCCTGTTGGGGCGTTGGCTGTTCTGTTGTCCGGCTCTCTGCGTTGTGTTGCATTGTGTTTCTAAGTTGACCATGTTTTCTCATTCATTCTTACCTGATGACGATTGCTTGTGTTGCAATCGAAACGTCGTATTCTATTATTATTTTATTTTCTACGTGACTTTACCGAAATAACCAAAGAGTTGCGCCACCGGTGGTGTTGGCCGTGAGCGGGAATCGAACCTCGGATCGCCCGGGTTCGTTGCGTAGCGCGATCACCGGTAGGCTATCACTCCCCCACCCCCCACATGCACACACACACACACGCTCACACACACCACACACACACACAACACACACGCTCACACACACCACACACGCTCACACACACCACACACACACCACACACACACGCTCACACACACCACACACACCACACACGCTCACACACACCACACACACCACACACACACCACACACACACGCACACACCACACACACGCTCACACACACCACACACACGCACACACACCACACACACGCACACACACCACACACACCACACACACGCACACACTCCACACACACACACCACACACACCACACGCACACACGCACACCACACACACCACACACACCACACACACCACACACACCACACACACACACGCACACACACCACACACACACCACACACACCCCACACACACCACACACGCTCACACACATCACACACACCACACACACACACACCACACACACACAACACACACGCTCACACACACCACACACACACCACACACACACCACACACACACCACACACACCACACACACCACACACACACCACACACACACGCACACACCACACACACGCTCACACACACCACACACACGCACACACACGCACACACACCACACACACACACACACACCACACACACCACACACACGCACACACACCACACACACACACCACACGCACACACAACACACACGCACACCACACACACCGCACACACCACACACACACCACACACACCACACACACCACACACACACCACACACACCACACACACACACACCACACACGCTCACACGCACCACACACACCACACACACACACCACACACACACGCACACACCACACACACGCACACCACACACACCACACACACCACACACACCACACACACACACACCACACACACCACACACACACGCTCACACACACCACACACACCACACACACACACCACACCACACACACCACACACACCACACACACCACACACACACCACACACACCACACACACGCTCACACACACCACACACACCACACACACACACCACACCACACACACCACACACACCACACACACACACCACACACACCACACACACACCACACACACCACACACACACCACACACACCACACACACACACCACACCACACACACCACACACACCACACACACACCACACACACCACACACACACCACACACACCACACACACACCACACACACCACACACACACACCACACCACACACACCACACACACCACACACACACACCACACACACCACACACACACCACACACACCACACACACACACACGCTCACACACACGCGCACGCCACGCAGAGCCAGTGGTGTGGCCGGCTGCCTCCGCCGAACCTTCGCTGGTGGACTCCATGCGCGACGCGGTGTTCACCGTGTCACCAAACAGGCAGTAGCGCGGCATCTTGGTCCCCACCACGCCCGCCACCACCGAGCCTTGGGGGGGGGGGCACGGAAGGTAAAGGGGGGGCCCCAGAGAGGGAGGTAGTTAACGGTCAGGTTCGCGATTCCGGTTGTCGCTCTGGTGGCGGCGGTTGCGGTTGTTCCGTGGCGAGCGCGTGGCCGTGTCACAGACTCAGGAGGAATCCGATGAGTCTGTGAGGTTCCGGCAAGGGGTTAGGGGTCAGCAAAAGCTGCACCAACGATAAACAATACGGACATCGATATGAGAGCAGCGAGACGGGAGAAAAGCTCAGCGGGTTCCGAAGACGACAATAGGTTTTTGTCCCCTTTGATCTGGCAACAAAACAGCTGTGTTGAGATGTTAAGGAATCATGTGTGCGTTAACCACAATACTTGTGGTCAAAATGCAAACAAAAAACATACTCTGATACGATATGCATTGTCTTTGAAACTGATTGGTCCACACCAGAGACAGCTTTCTTTTGAGCCTCGTCTCAGACGGTGTCAGACCAGAGGTCTAACACCATTCAGCTTCAAAGACAATGCATACATTATAGTTGTTCGTTTGCATTCTGACCACAGGTATTGTGGTCAATGCAGTAACATGATTCCTTGTAAAATGTTTCAGTTTGGTGTTTTCACATCTTAACACAGCTGTTTTGTTGCCAGAAAAAAGGGGGAAAACCTCTTCTCATATTTTGGTACTGGTTAAGGAGGTCCCGTGATAACGGGTTTTCTAATACGCCAATAAATTCTGGCGGTTGTGGATTTGTGCTCGTGGCGACGTTTGTGGCGATTGTGGTGGCGGCCCTGGCCGCGGTTGCGGCCGTGGGGCTTTTGCGGCACCGTCGCGTTCGCGTTTTTGTTCGTTGGCGAGCGGCGGTGACGCTGCGTGTGACGGCGGTGACGCTGCGGCGAGAGAGCCGCCGGCCCCACCGGAGTGAATGCCGGCGCGGATCCGGAGCCGCGTGTGCGGCTGGTGGGGAATGACAAAGGAGCGGCACACGGCCACCAGGTCCAGCGCCAAGTTGGCGATCTCGCTCGCGTGGCGGTTCCCGTTCTCGTGCGGCACCCCCGACACCACCATGTCTGTGGGGGGGGGGGGAGGGTGGCAGGGGGGCGGCGGGCACCGACCGTACCGGCGGCAGGGGAGGGATCGTGAGCACAAAGCCATCGGCAGAAAGATGGTGGTCGCATGCATCGCCCGGCGCTTTGTAGCGTTGGGAAGCCGCCGGGAGCTTGCGAACTGTCGAATCGTCGTCAAGATTGACAAGCGCACTTCTTTGGGACTGCTTTTCGTGTTTAGTTTGTCGACCTTTCCACCCTGGCAACGTGCGGTGCAATAGAAGTTCAAAGCACACGCAGCTAAGATCTCCTGTATGGTCTTCACAGACTTTGGGGGGCAAGTGCTTGTTCGCGAGCAGCACCGACGTATGAAGCCTGGCACGGCACACGAGGGGGTGGGTGGCCAACACCACGCCCGGAATACGCGCTCACACACACACACACCCACACACCCACACACACCCACATACACACACCCCCACACACACCCACACACACACATCCACACACACACACACCCCCACACACACACCCACACACCCACACATCCACACGGATCCATACGCCCCACTGTCCACTCTCCTGAGCCAGGGGTCACGCCTAGCCACGGGTCACGCCTGGCCAGGGGTCACGCCTGGCCAGGGTTCACGCCTAGCCACGGGTCACGCCTAGCTAGGGGTCACGCCTGGCCAGGGGCCACGCCTGGCCAGGGGTCACACCTGGCCAGGGGTCACGCCTAGCCACGGGTCACGCCTAGCTAGGGGTCACACCTGGCCAGGGGTCACACCTGGCCAGGGGTCACGCCTGGCCAGGGGTCACGCCTGGCCATGGGTCACGCCTATCCAGGGGTCACACCTGGCCAGGGGTCACGCCGAGTACTCAGCACCCACGAACGCGACATGGCCACTGCGCTGTGAGAGGGGGGTGGGGGTGGTGTCCTGTGTCGCGTCGCGAGCGCTGGGATGGGAGAGAGTCAGGGTGTGAGTGCGAGTGAGGCCGGGGAGCGTCTCGGGGGGGGGCGGGGGCTCTCGCGTGACACTCACAGGCGTCGCCGATGGTCTCCACCTTGTAGACGTCGTAGCTGTCGATGATGTCGTCGAAGGTGGTGTACAGCTTGTTGAGGAAGTCCACCACCTGGTAGGGCGTGCTGGCACCCGACAGCTGCGTGAAGCCCACGATGTCGCTGGGGCAGAGGAAACGTAGCGCCCGGGGGGGGGGGGCGGGGGAGGGGGGGGGGCGGCGGGGGAGGGCAGGGGAGGGGGGCCGTGGGGGGGGGGGTCAGAGACGCGTCGGTCCGCTAGCTCACCCCGGGCCCGAGTGATCACCCCGGGCCGGAGTCATCACCCCCAGCCTCACCTGGGCTCACCCAGCCTGCTCCTGGGTGAGCGTGGCCCCACGTGTGCCATGTGTCTGGTGACGCTGCTGCTCTGCGTCGCTGCTCGCTGCGCCGTTGCTCTGTGTTGTTGTTGCTCTGTGTTGTTGTTGCTCTGTGTTGTTGTTGCTCTGTGTTGTTGCTGCTCTGTGTTGTTGTTGCTCTGTGTTGTTGTTGCTCTGTGTTGTTGTTGCTCTGCTTTGTTGCTGCTCTGTGTTGTTGTTGTTGCTCTGTGTTGTTGTTGCTCTGTGTTGTTGTTGCTCTGTGTTGTTGTTGCTCTGTGTTGTTGTTGCTCTGTGTTGTTGTTGCTCTGTGTTGTTGTTGCTCTGCTTTGTTGCTGCTCTGTGTTGTTGTTGTTGCTCTGTGTTGTTGTTGCTCTGTGTTGTTGTTGCTCTGTGTTGTTGTTGCTCTGTGTTGTTGCTGCTCTGTGTTGTTGTTGCTCTGTGTTGTTGTTGCTCTGTGTTGTTGTTGCTCTGCTTTGTTGCTGCTCTGTGTTGTTGTTGTTGTTGCTCTGTGTTGTTGTTGCTCTGTGTTGTTGCTGCTGTGTGTTGTTGTTGCTCTGTGTTGTTGCTGCTCTGTGTTGTTGTTGCTCTGTGTTGTTGTTGCTCTGTGTTGTTGTTGCTCTGTGTTGTTGCTGCTCTGTGTTGTTGTTGCTCTGTGTTGTTGTTGCTCTGTGTTGTTGCTCTGTGTTGCTGCTCTGTGTTGTTGCTCTGTGTTGTTGCTGTGTGTTGTTGCTGCTCTGTGTTGTTGTTGCTCTGTGTTGTTGTTGCTCTGTGTTGTTGCTGCTCTGTGTTGTTGTTGCTCTGTATTGTTGTTGCTCTGTGTTGTTGTTGCTGTGTGTTGTTGCTGCTCTGTGTTGTTGTTGCTCTGTGTTGTTGCTGCTCTGTGTTGTTGTTGCTCTGCTTTGTTGCTGCTCTGTGTTGTTGTTGCTCTGTGTTGTTGTTGCTCTGTGTTGTTGTTGCTCTGTGTTGTTGCTGCTTTGTGTTGTTGCTGCTCTGTGTTGTTGCTGCTCTGTGTTGTTGCTCTGTGTTGCTGCTCTGTGTTGTTGCTGCTCTGTGTTGTTGTTGCTCTGTGTTGTTGCTGCTCTGTGTTGTTGTTGCTCTGCTTTGTTGCTGCTCTGTGTTGTTGTTGCTCTGTGTTGTTGTTGCTCTGTGTTGTTGTTGCTCTGTGTTGTTGCTGCTCTGTGTTGTTGTTGCTCTGTGTTGTTGCTGCTCTGTGTTGTTGTTGCTCTGTGTTGTTGCTGCTCTGTGTTGTTGTTGCTCTGCTTTGTTGTTGCTCTGTGTTGGTGCTCTGTGTTGTTGTTGCTCTGTGTTGTTGTTGCTCTGTGTTGTTGTTGTTCTGTGTTGGTGCTCTGTGTTGTTGTTGCTCTGTGTTGTTGTTGCTCTGTGTTGTTGTTGCTCTGTGTTGTTGCTGCTCTGTGTTGTTGTTGCTCTGTGTTGTTGTTGCTCTGTGTTGTTGCTCTGTGTTGTCGCTGCTTTGTGTTGTTGCTCTGTGTTGTTGCTGTGTGTTGTTGCTGCTCTGTGTTGTTGTTGCTCTGTGTTGTTGTTGCTCTGTGTTGTTGCTGCTCTGTGTTGTTGTTGTTGTTGCTCTGTGTTGTTGTTGCTCTGTGTTGTTGTTGCTGTGTGTTGTTGCTGCTCTGTGTTGTTGTTGCTCTGTGTTGTTGCTGCTCTGTGTTGTTGTTGCTCTGCTTTGTTGCTGCTCTGTGTTGTTGTTGCTCTGTGTTGTTGTTGCTCTGTGTTGTTGTTGCTCTGTGTTGTTGCTGCTCTGTGTTGTTGCTGCTCTGTGTTGTTGCTGCTCTGTGTTGTTGCTCTGTGTTGCTGCTCTGTGTTGTTGCTGCTCTGTGTTGTTGTTGCTCTGTGTTGTTGCTGCTCTGTGTTGTTGTTGCTCTGCTTTGTTGCTGCTCTGTGTTGTTGTTGCTCTGTGTTGTTGTTGCTCTGTGTTGTTGCTGCTCTGTGTTGTTGTTGCTCTGTGTTGTTGCTGCTCTGTGTTGTTGTTGCTCTGTGTTGTTGCTGCTCTGTGTTGTTGTTGCTCTGCTTTGTTGTTGCTCTGTGTTGGTGCTCTGTGTTGTTGTTGCTCTGTGTTGTTGTTGCTCTGTGTTGTTGTTGCTCTGTGTTGGTGCTCTGTGTTGTTGTTGCGCTGTGTTGTTGTTGCTCTGTGTTGGTGCTCTGTGTTGTTGTTGCTCTGTGTTGTTGCTCTGTTGCTCTGTGTTGTTGTTGCTCTGTGTTGTTGCTCTGTTGCTCTGTGTTGTTGTTGCTCTGTGTTGTTGTTGCTCTGTGTTGGTGCTCTGCTGCTCTGTGTTGCTGCTCTGTGTCGCTGCTCCGTGAATCTCGCCACCTGAAGAAGATGGTGGCGCTGGCGTAGCTCTGAGCCTCGGCGACCTTGCCCTGCCGCAGGTCATCGGCAATCTTCCGGGGCAGCATGCCTGGGGGGGGGGGGGGGGGTGGTGGTGAGGAGGGGTGGTGAGGAGGGGTGGTGAGGAGGGGCGGTGAGGAGGGGCGGTGAGGAGGGGCGGTGAAGAAGGGCGGTGAGAAGGGGCGGTGAGGAGGGGCGGTGAGGAGGTTCGCGCCGTGCGAGGCGAATGAGTTAGAGGTGAGCGGTGAGGGTTGAACGGTGGTCGTTGCGCGGTGAGTGGTGAGCGGTGAGCAGTGGGCGGTGAGCAGTGAGTGAGAGGTGAGCGGTGAGCAGTGGGCGGTGAGCAGTGAGTGGTGAGAGGTGAGCAGTGGGCGGTGAGCGGTGGTCATTGAGAGGTGAGCAGTGGTCGTTGCGCGGTGAGCAGTGGGCGGTGAGCAGCGAGAGGTGAGCGGTGAGAGGTGAGCGGTAGGGGAGGAGTTCACTGTAGAGCAGCCGATCGGTCTTCTGCTTCTCCAGCACCAGGTCCTGAGTCCGCTCGGCCACCACCGACTCCAGGTGCTTGCTGTACCTCTCCATCTACACGCGGAGAGGCGAAGGTCCACCCCCCGCACAGCCTTTCACGGACTGTTGGGTGCAAGTGCCGCGGCTACTGTGGGGGGATTGAGCGGTCGCTCAATAGCCACTAAGTTGAGCAGAAGATCCCCCCTTGCGGTTTGATCTTCCACGACGCTGCCCACGGTCCACCCCCTATACCCGCATCGCCCACTGCGCAAACCATGGCAGCAGCAGCAGCGGCGGATGCGGATGATAGCTGATGATGCACAAATGTAGCGCAGTAGTGCAACGTACAACGAGGCAATGCACCGATCCGCAAGTACGAAGGGGAAATCACGGCGGTGGTCAGTGCCGGATTATCCTCGTAGCACAAGGAGCTACATGTGTAGTAGCTACTACATATGTAGTAGCAGCTACTACTACACATGTAGTAGTAGCTACTACTACATGTGTAGTAGTAGCTACTACCTATGTAGCTACTACTGCACATGTAGTAGTAGCTACTGCACATGTAGTAGTAGCTACTACTACATGTGTAGTAGCTACTACCTATGTAGCTACTACTACATATGTAGCTACTACTACATATACAAATGCTACGGGCCTCGCACTTTTAAGGGCCCCCGCGCTAAACGCTTTCAAGCTATCAATTCCGGTTCGGTGATTCTGCACTTGCTCTATGACTATAGTACTATACCGCCTTCAACTTTTACGAACCACCAGGTGTCTAAGGTTAGCGATTCGTCGTATTATCTGGCTGTATCGTGAATGAAAAAATAAAATTACTTTACTGTGCAAGTAAAAAAATGCGTGTTTTAATATTGATGCTACAGGCCCCGCACTAGCTTAATCCGGCACTGGGCGGCAGCGATGATGGTTATGATGCTGAGACACTATTCCGCTACTCACCAGCATCATCATCATGTCCACGGGGCTCACTTTGTTGGGATTCATCTTGTGTAGCTGCTTCTTGACCTGCTCGAAAGACGGCCTCTGGAGTGGGATCTGTGCCCAGCACTTCTGGATCAGCTGCACGCACACAAGGAGGAGCTCGCCGCCCCGCTTATCCACACGCCACCCCACTCACCCACACAACAACAACCGCCATTCGCCACGAAGTGGCGGTGACGTCACCACGACGCTTGCGCCAGGCCATGTGCACCTTGAGGCCACGTGAAGTGTCGAACGCCCGCCGGCAGGAGGTCACGGGGCAGACCCAGGTGCCACGAGTCGACTGACTGAGATGACCGAGATGACTGGCTGATGCACCACCTGTGCCCCCTACTGTGCCAACTTGCTGTGCTTTAGCCACCCGGCGCTCCGCTCGTTGTTGTGAGCGTCGCTCCTCGGCCCTCTGTTGTTGTTGGAGGGCGACTGCCTCCAACTGCCCAGTAGCATCCTTCACGAGCCTCCTCCACTGAGGCCGATCTTGACACCGCTGGTACCAGTCATCGGCAAGTCCACTCAGCTCCACGTCCTCCTGTACCACGTCACTCCATCTCTTCTCTAGCCCGTGCAGCGCCCGTTTAGCCCCCTCGATCCGGCCGAACAAAAGCTGTTTAGGCATGCGGTAGCTGGGCATTCGGGCTACATGACCCAGCCAACGCAGCCTTGCCTGCCGGAGGAGCTCACCGATGGGACTTTGCCCAGATCTTTCAAGGATTTGTGAGCTCCTCACACAATCCAGCCTGGTTAAACCCAGGATGGATCGTAGGCAGGCCAGCCTAAATGTTTCTAACCGGCGAAGATGTTCCATTAGGGGGGGGTCCACGTTTCGCAAGCATAATGACTGTGGCCGAGAAGACCTGAAGCTTCGTGTGGAGCGACAGACCAGGTACCTTCCACACAGCGTTACGGAACCGATGAAAAGATAATGCCGCTCGACTGATTCGGAGTGAGACCTCTGCTGTTAAACCAGAGCCGGTCATGAGCACACTGCCCAGGTATGGGAAACTCCACTCTCTTCACAACTGCCCTTTCACCGATTGGGAGTTGTGGGGGTGGAGTGTCCGATGATACAATATACCCAGGCAGGTGCTTCGTTTTGGTGGGGCTGATGGTAAGGCCACACCTCTTAGTGGCACATTCCAGTTTCAGCAGCAGCGCCTCCAACTCCTCCTCTGAGTGAGCCGCAATTACCAGGTCGTCGGAATAGATAACGTGGTTGACCAATAGGGAGCCATGCCTTGACCGCACCCGGTTATCGATCAGCGCCCCATTGTATCTGTACAACCCCACTCACCCACGCACCACCCCACTCACCCACACACCACCCCGCTCACCCACACGCCACTCACCCACGCACCACCCCACTCACCCACGCACCACCCCACTCACCCACACACCATTCCACTCACCCACACGCCACCCCACTCACCCACGCACCACCCCACTCACCCACGCACCACCCCACTCACCCACGCACCACCCCACTCACCCACACACCACCCCACTCACCCACACACCACCACACTCACCCACACACCACCCCGCTCACCCACACGCCACCCCACTCACCCACACACCACCCCACTCACCCACACAACAACAACAACCGCCATTCGCCACGAAGTGGCGGTGACGTCACTACGACGTTTGTGCCAGGCCATGTTCACCTTGAGGCCATGTGAAGTGTCGAACGCCCGCCGGCAGGAGGTCACGGGGCAGACCCAGGTGCCACGAGTCGACTGACTGAGATGACCGAGATGACTGGCTGATGCACCACCTGTGCCCCCTACTGTGCCAACTTGCTGTGCTTTATCCACCCGGCGCTCCGCTCGTTGTTGTGAGCGTCGCTCCTCGGCCCTCTGTTGTTGGAGGGCGACTGCCTCCAACTGCCCAGTAGCGTCCATCACGAGCCTCCTCCACTGAGGCCGATCTTGACACCGCTGGTACCAGTCATCGGCAAGTCCACTCAGCTCCACGTCCTCCTGTACCACGTCACTCCATCTCTTCTCTAGCCCGTGCCGCGCCCGTTTAGCCCCCTAGATCCGGCAGAACAAAAGCTGTTTAGGCATGCGGTAGCTGGGCATTCGGGCTACATGACCCAGCCAACGCAGCCTTGCCTGCCGGAGGAGCTCACCGATGGGACTTTGCCCAGATCTTTCAAGGAATTGTGAGCTCCTCACACAATCCAGCCTGGTTAAACCCAGGATGGATCGTAGGCAGGCCAGCCTAAATGTTTCTAACCGGCGAAGATGTTCCATTAGGGGGGGGGGGGGGTCCACGTTTCGCAAGCATAATGACTGTGGCCGAGAAGACCTGAAGCTTCGTGTGGAGCGACAGACCAGGTACCTTCCACACAGCGTTACGCAACCGATGAAAAGATAATGCCGCTCGACTGATTCGGAGTGAGACCTCTGCTGTTAAACCAGAGCCGGTCATGAGCACACTGCCCAGGTATGGGAAACTCCACTCTCTTCACAACTGCCCCTTCACCGATTGGGAGTTGTGGGGGTGGAGTGTCCGATGATACAATATACCCAGGCAGGTGCTTCGTTTTGGTGGGGCTGATGGTAAGGCCACACCTCTTAGTGGCACATTCCAGTTTCAGCAGCAGCGCCTCCAACTCCTCCTCTGAGTGAGCCGCAATTACCAGGTCGTCGGAATAGATAACGTGGTTGACCAATAGGGAGCCATGCCTTGACCGCACTCGGTTATCGATCAGCGCCCCATTGTATCTGTACAACCCCACTCACCCACACACCACCCCACTCACCCACACACCATTCCACTCACCCACACGCCACCCCACTCACCCACGCACCACCCCACTCACCCACACACCACCCCGCTCACCCACACACCACCTCACTCACCCACACACCACCCCGCTCACCCACACACCACCTCACTCACCCACACACCACCCCGCTCACCCACACACCACTCCACTCACCCACACACCACCCCACTCACCCACACACCACCCCGCTCACCCACACACCACCTCACTCACCCACACACCACCCCGCTCACCCACACACCACCCCGCTCACCCACACACCACCCCGCTCACCCACACACCACCTCACTCACCCACACGCCGCCCCGCTCACCCAAACGCCACCCCACTCACCCACACAACACCCCGCTCACCCACACACCACCCCGCTCACCCACACACCACCCCGCTCACCCACACACCACGTCACTCACCCACACGCCGCCCCGCTCACCCAAACGCCACCCCACTCACCCACACACCACCCCGCTCACCCGCTCACCCACACACCACCTCACTCACCCACACACCACCCCGCTCACCCACACACCACCCCGCTCACCCACACACCACCCCGCTCACCCACACACCACCTCACTCACCCACACGCCGCCCCGCTCACCCAAACGCCACCCCACTCACCCACACGCCACTCACCCACACACCACCCCGCTCACCCACACACCACCTCACTCACCCACACACCACCCCGCTCACCCACACCACCTCACTCACCCACACACCACCCTGCTCACCCACACACCACCTCACTCACCCACACACCACCCCGCTCACCCACACCACCTCACTCACCCACACACCACCTCACTCACCCACACACCACCTCACTCACCCACACACCACCTCACTCACTCACCCACACACCAACTCACTCACCCACACACCACCCCGCTCACCCACACACCACCTCACTCACCCACACACCACCCCACTCACCCACGCACCACCCCACTCACCCACGCACCACCCCACTCACCCACACACCACCCCACTCACCCACACACCACCCTGCTCACCCACACACCACCTCACTCACCCACACACCACCCCGCTCACCCACACCACCTCACTCACCCACACACCACCTCACTCACCCACACGCCACCCCGCTCACCCACACACCACCTCACTCACACGCCACCCTGCTCACCCACACACCACCCCTACCTCGCAGTACTCGGTAGGACTAGGACAGTTGGTGTCGGTTTTGCCCGAGAACTGCGGCAGGCTGGGACGCCACGCCGAGTCCACGTTATTCACGTCCATGTCTGGCTGCGCTCACACAGAAGCACGAAGACAAAGATCCCCCGTGTAGCCTGTAACAGACTGTTGGGGCAAGTGCTGTTAGCGAGCAACTATGAAGGCCGGAACGGCACATGAGGGGGTGGGTGACCGACACCGCGCCCGGCCGCCTTTGTCTCCCCGGTGGCGATGTTTACACACCGCACCAGGTACTAATTTGAGGCTGAGTCGACCTCGGGGAGGCCCAGGACCGGTTCAGATAATCGTCACTGTGGTGTTGGTCGTGAGCGGGAATCAAACTCGGGTCGCCGGGTTCGTAGCGCTAACCGCTGCACCACCGCTCCCTACACAGAAGAACGCACACACACACGGACACATACACAGCCAAAGATAAAGGTCCCCCCTGTAGCCAAGTGCTGTGAGCGAGCGCCTATCAAGGTCGGCATGGTGGCGTGGCTTGCACTATGCCCAGCCGCCTTTGTCTCCCCAGTGGCGCTGTTTAATCACAGCACCAGATTCTCGTTTGAGGCTGAATCGACCTAGGGGAGGCCTAAGTCTGGAGGGGTGGTGGGGTGATGGAAGGTTGGGGGGGGTGAAGGGGGAAGTGTAAAGGGGGGATCGGGGGGGTCGGGGGGGGTCGGGGGAGGGGGGGATCGGGGGGGAAGGGGGGATCGGGAGGGGAGGGGGGATCGGGGGAGGGGGGGGATCGGGGGAGGGGGGGATCGGGGGAGGGGGGGGGATCGGGGGAGGGGGGGATCGGGGGAGGGGGGGGGAATCGGGGGAGGGGGGATGGGGGGATCGGGGGGGGATCGTGGGGGGGGATCGGGGGGGGAATCGTGGGGGGGGAATCGTGGGGGGGGGGATCGGGGGGGGTCGGGGGGGGATCGGGGGGAGGATCGGGGGGGGGATCGGGGGGGGGGATCGGGGGAGGGGGATCGGGGGGGGGATCGGGGGAGGGGGGATCGGGGGGGGCGATCGGGGGGGGGATCGGGGGGGGATCGGGGGGGGATCGGGGGGGAGATCGGGGGGGGGGATCGGGGGGGGGTCGGGGGAGGGGGGGATCGGGGGGGGATCGGGGGGGGGTCGGGGGAGGGGGGGATCGGGGGGGGATCGGGGGGGGATCGGGGGAGGGGGGGATCGAGGGGGGGGGGGTCTCACCGCCGTGGGTTCGCTCCGTGTGGCGATCTCCACCAGGATCACTCCGAAACTGCGAGACACGGGGTGAGCAGCGCGGTGAGCAACTCGGTGAGTGTGCGAGCAACGTGGCCATGGGGGGCGGTGAGCGCACGTCACCTGTAGACGTCCACGGCCGGCGTGAGTTCGCCGTGTCGCAGGAGGCGTCTCTCGGGAGCCATGTAGATGCTTGCCAGGCCCTGCTGGTGCTGCTGCCGCTGCTTCACGGCCTCCTCCTCTGGCCTGTCCTGTGTGCGGAACACCTCCAGCCCATAATCTACAAAGACAAAGGTCCACCCGTGGAGCAGCCTGTAACAGACTGTAGGGGCAAGCGCTGTTAGCGAGCAGCACCTATGAAGGCCGGCACGGCACACGAGGGGGTGGGGTGGCCAGCACCACGCCCGGCCGCCTTTGTCTCCCCAGTGGTCGATGTTTTACACATCGCACCGGGTACTCATTTGAGGCTGGGTCGACCTAGGCGAGCCGCAGGACCGGTTCGGATATTCGTCACCGATGGTTGGCCGTGAGTGGGAATCGAACTCGGGTTGCTGGGTTCCATGAGACACACAACAGGTAGACACGAAAGACAAAGATCCCCCGCGTAGGCTTAGCAGACAGTTGGGGCAAGTGCTCTTGGCGAGCAGCACCTATGAAGGCTGGAGCAGCACACGAGGGGGTGGGAGGACACCACTACTTCCGACCGCCTTTGTATCCCCTGTGGCGATGTCTACACACCGCACCAGGAACTCATTTGAGGCTGAGTCGACCTAGGGGAGGCTCAGGGCCGGTTAGAATATTCGCCACTGTTATTGGTCACAAAGGCAAAGTTTCCCCGTAGAGCCTTCACAGACTATTTGGGCAAGTGCTCTTAGCGAGCACACACACCGACCCTCACCCCCCTCACCAGGGACCCTCACCCCCCTCACCCGGGACGCTCACCCCCCTCACCCGGGACGCTCACCCCCTCACCCGGGACGCTCACCCCCCTCACCCGGGACGCTCACCCCCCTCACCAGGGACCCTCACCCCCCTCACCCGGGACGCTCACCCCCCTCACCCCCCTCACCCGGGACGCTCACCCCCCTCACCGGCGATCTTACAGACCCAGCGGTCGTCGACGAGGCAATTTGTGGGCTTGAGGCGGCCGTGGACGAGGCGGTGCTGATGCAGATAGGACATCCCTCGCACGATGTCCACCGCAAACGACAGCCTTCACCAGTAGCAATATCACAACCACCGTCACCACCATTACCACGGTCACCACCATTACCAACATCAGTACCATCACCACCACCACCACCATCGCCACCATTACCAACATCACCACCACCATGGCCACCATCACCATTATCAACATCACCATCATCACCACCATTACCATCGTCTACATCGCCATTACCAACATCACCATCGCCACCATCACCATACCAACATCACCATTACCAACATCACCACCACCATTGCCACCATGATGTTAAGGAACCATGTGATGTTGAGGGACCTTGTGATGTTGAGGAACCCTGTGATGTTGAAGAACCCTGTGATGTTGAAGAACCCTGTGATGTTGAGAAACCCTGTGATGTTGAAGAACCCTGTGATGTTGAAGAACCCTGTGATGTTGAGAAACCCTGTGATGTTGAGAAACCCTGTGATGTTGAGGAACCCTGTGATGTTGAAGAACCCTGTGATGTTGAGAAACCCTGTGATGTTGAGAAACCCTGTGATGTTGAGGAACCCTGTGATGTTGAGGAACCATGTGATGTTGAGAAACCCTGTGATGTTGAGAAACCCTGTGATGTTGAGGAACCCTGTGATGTTGAAGAACCCTGTGATGTTGAGAAACCCTGTGATGTTGAGAAACCCTGTGATGTTGAGGAACCCTGTGATGTTGAGGAACCATGTGATGTTGAGAAACCCTGTGATGTTGAGAAACCCTGTGATGTTGGGGAACCCTGTGATGTTGAGAAACCCTGTGATGTTGAGAAACCCTGTGATGTTGAGAAACCCTGTGATGTTGAGGAACCCTGTGATGTTGAGGAACCATGTGATGTTGAGAAACCCTGTGATGTTGAGAAACCCTGTGATGTTGGGGAACCCTGTGATGTTGAGAAACCCTGTGATGTTGGGGAACCCTGTGATGTTGAGGAACCTTGTGATGTTGAAGAACCCTGTGATGTTGAGGAACCCTGTGATGTTGAGGAACCCTGTGATATTGAGGACCTGTTGATGTTGAGCAACCCTGTGAGGTTCAGGACCCCACGACGATATCGAGAAGCTCGTGGGCACCTGAATCCCCAGTTGAGCGGGATCTCGTCGTTGAGAAGGACGTCGCGCAGGCTTCCCTTGGGGCAGAACTCGGTGAGCAGGGCCACGCTGCCCTCCTCCACGACGGCACCCACGAAGCGGCACAGGTTCGGGTGCTCCAGCTCCCTGGGGCGACGGTTCGGGGGTCGGGGATCGAGCGGGAGTCACGGCGCTCGGTGAGGGTCGCGTAGACTCCCTCCGCCACCAACTGACACAGCCAACTGGTAACGGTTGTCACGTGAACGAAACGTGACAATTCGTCACTAGTACAGCACACCGGCATGAGAGCCAAGCCCCTCGTGGCCGCCGGGGCCCACCGAAAACCGTACGGCCACGGCGGTGCCGGAGCGTTTAGCCAGGAGGCGGCGGAGCATGCCGAGCCGTTTGACACCGCGGGGAACGTCCGCTTGACACAGGGAGGGCCTGGGCCACTCGCCGACCGCACCACGAGACCGCCCGGGGCAACCGCGGGGAGCTGGCGCGGCCGCACGACCGCACGACAAGCACACAGAGGGCCGACGCAGCCACACAGACTCGCGCAAAGACAAAGATCTTCCGCCCCACCCCCCCCGTGTAACCTTAACAGACTGTTGGGGCAAGTGATGTGAGCCAGGCCGGGACGGTAACACAGGGGGGGGGGGGGTGGTGGGTGGTGGGTGACCAGCACCACCACCCGAACGTCTTTGTCTTCCCCCAGTGGCGACGTTTACTGCACACCGCACTCAAGGGCTCATAGCCGCACACAATCACGGTGAGCTGGGCAGGTCCCCACCTGATTTCCTTGACCTCGCTGCGGATGGTCTTGGTGAGGCTTAGCGTCTTCTTGTTGATTCTCTTCATGGCCACGGTGTTGCCCTGGCTGCGAGGAGAGACACGCGCTGAGGTGGTGAGCACACCGCTCCGTGGGGTGTGTGCGTGTGTGTAGTGTGCGGTGTGTAGCGCAGTGTGTCGTGCGGTGTGTAGTGTGCGGTACGTGCGTAGTGCGGTCTGTCGTGTGTGGCAAGTGTGCGGTGTGTAGTGTGGTGTGCGGTGTGTAGTGCGGTGTTTAGTGCGGTGTGCGGCGTGTAGTGCGGTGTGTAGTGCGGTGTGCGGTGTGTGTAGTGCGGTGTGTAGTGCGGTGTGCGGTGTGTAGTGCGGTGTGCGGTGTGTGTAGTGCAGTGTGCGGTGCGGCGTGCGGTGCTGTACTAGATGACGCCGAGAGTGATGCCGTGGCTCGGCACCACCGCGGATTGGTTGTAGCCGGACCCGGTGCTCTGCACGTCGGTCATGTGACTGGCAGTGGTGTCGCTCGGCGGCGGTGGCTGCCGCATGCTGGCGAGGCTGCCCTCGGGACCGCGCTGCCTGTAGTCTGTGCACACACAAAAAGATCCCCCCCCCCCCCGTGTAGCCTTAACAGACGGTTGGGGCAAGCGCTGTTAGCGAGCAGCATCTATGAAGGCCGGCACGGCGCATGGGGGGAGTGGGTGGCCAGCGACACGCCCGGCCGCCTTTGTCTCCCCCCAATGGAGATGTTTACTACACACCGCACCGGGTACTCATTTGAGGCTGAGTCGACCTAAGGGAGGCCCAGGACCGGTTCAGATAATCGTCACTGGGCGTTGGCCGTGAGCGCGGATCGAACTCGGGTGGCCGGGTTCGTAGCGCAGCGTAGCGCTAACCGCTACACCACCGCTCCCCGCATTGACGTGTACACACGCACGCACGTGTGTACACAACAACGACAGCCGCCATTAAGTGGCGGTGACGTCACAACAGCGTCTGCGCCAGGCTATGTGCACCCCGAGGCCACGTGAGGTGCCGAAGGCTCGCTCCGAGCAGTTACCGGGGGTCAGACCCAGGTGCTGTGGGTTGACCGAGATGGCTGTGCCCCCGCTGGGACAAGGCACAGCGGGGGGGGGGGGGGGGGGGGTGTGTGGACGCACCCATCTTGATGTCTTTGGGGCTGACGATCCAGCTCTCGTCCCAGAAGAGCTTGTGCTTCTGATACTCAAACCACTGGGAACACACGGGGTGGGGGGGTCGTCCGGACGTTAACCGTGGCAGCGAGCGGGAGGACGAGCGTGGGCGGTGAGCATAGTGGTGAGCGTGGGCGGTGAGCGTGGGCGGTGAGCGTGGGCGGTGAGCGTGGGCGGTGAGCGTGGGCGGTGAGCGTGGGCGGTGAGCTAGGGCGGTGAGCGTGGGCGGTGAGCGTGGGCGGTGAGCGTGGGCGGGAGCGTGGGCGGGAGCGGGGGCGGTGAGCGTGGGCGGTGAGCGTGGGCGGTGAGCGTGGGCGTGTGAGCGTGGGCGGTTGAGCGTGGGCGGTGAGCGTGGGCGGTGAGCGTGGGCGGTGAGCGTGGGCGGTGAGCGTGGGCGGTGAGCGTGGGCGGTGAGCGTGGGCGGGTGAGCGTGGGCGGTGAGCCGTGGGCGGTGAGCGTGGGCGGTGAGCGTGGGCGGTGAGCGTGGGCGGTGAGCCGTGGGCGGTGAGCGTGGGCGGTGAGCGTGGGCGGTGAGCGTGGGCGGTGAGCGTGGGCGGTGAGCGTGGGCGGTGAGCGTGGCGGTGAGGTGGGCGGTGAGCGTGGGCGGTGAGCGTGGGCGGTGAGCGTGGGCGGTGCAGCGTGGCGGTGAGCGTGGGCGTGAGAGTGGGCGGTGAGCGTGGGCGGTGAGCGTGGGCGGTGAGCGTGGGCGGTGAGCGTGGGCGGTGAGCGTGGGCGGTGAGCGTGAGCGTGGGCGGTGAGCTGTGGCGGTGAGCGTGTGAGCGTGGGCGGTGAGCGTGGGCGGTGAGCGTGGGCGGTGAGCGTGGGCGGTGAGCGTGGGCGGTGAGCGTGGGCGGTGAGCGTGGGCGGTGAGCGTTGGCGGTGAGCGTGGGCGGTGAGCGTGGGCGGTGAGCGTGGGCGGTGAGCGTGGGCGGTGAGCGTGGGCGGTGAGCGTGGGCGGTGAGCGTGGGCGGTGAGCGTGGGCGGTGAGCGTGGGCGGTGAGCGTGGGCGGTGAGCGGTGGGCGGTGAGTGTGGGCGGTGAAGCGTGGGCGGTGAGCGTGGGGCGGTGAGCGTGGGCGGTGAGCGTGGGGCGGTGAGCGTGGGCGGTGAGCGTGTGGGCGGTGAGCGTGGGCGGTGAGCGTGGGCGGTGAGCGTGGGCGGTGAGCGTGGGCGGTGAGCGTGGGCGGTGAGCGTGGGCTGGTGAGCGTGGGCGGTGAGCGTGGGCGGTGAGCGTGGGCGGTGAGCGTGGGCGGTGAGCGTGGGCGGTGAGCGTGGGCGGTGAGCGTGGGCGGTGAGCGTGGGCGGTGAGCGTGGGCGGTGAGCGTGGGCGGTGAGCGTGGGCGGTGAGCGTGGGCGGTGAGCGTGGGCGGTGAGCGTGGGCGGTGAGCGTGGGCGGTGAGCGTGGGCGGTGAGCGTGGGCGGTGAGCGTGGGCGGTGAGCGTGGGCGGTGAGCGTGGGCGGTGAGCGTGGGCGGTGAGCGTGGGCGGTGAGCGTGGGCGGTGAGCGTGGGCGGTGAGCGTGGGCGGTGAGCGTGGGCGGTGAGCGTGGGCGGTGAGCGTGGGCGGTGAGCGTGGGCGGTGAGCGTGGGGCGGTGAGCGTGGGCGGTGAGCGTGGGCGGTGAGCGTGGGCGGTGAGCGTGGGCGGTGAGCGTGGGCGGTGAGCGTGGGCGGTGAGCGTGGGCGGTGAGCGTGGGCGGTGAGCGTGGGCGGTGAGCGTGGGCGGTGAGCGTGGGCGGTGAGCGTGGGCGGTGAGCGTGGGCGGTGAGCGTGGGCGTGAGCGTGGGCGGTGAGCGTGGGCGGTGAGCGTGGGCGGTGAGCGTGGGCGGTGAGCGTGGGCGGTGAGCGTGGGCGGTGAGCGTGGGGGCGGTGAGCGTGGGCGGTGAGCGTGGGCGGGTGAGCGTGGGCGGTGAGCGTGGGCGGTGAGCGTGGGCGGTGAGCGTGGGCGGTGAGCGTGGGCGGTGAGCGTGGGCGGTGAGCGTGGGCGGTGAGCGTGGGCGGTGAGCGTGGGGCGGTGAGCGTGGGCGGTGAGCAGTGGGCGGGTGAGCGTGGCGGTGAGCGTGGGCGGTGAGCGTGGGCGGTGAGCGTGGGCGGTGAGCGTGGGCGGTGAGCGTGGGCGGTGAGCGTGGGCGGTGAGCGTGGGCGGTGAGCGTGGGCGGTGAGCGTGGGCGGTGAGCGTGGGCGGTGAGCGTGGGCGGTGAGCGTGGGCGGTGAGCGTGGGCGGTGATCGTGGGCGGTGAGCGTGGGCGGTGAGCGTGGGCGGTGAGCGTGGGCGGTGAGCGTGGGCGGTGAGCGTGGGCGTGAGCGTGGGCGGTGAGCGTGGCGGTGAGCGTGGGCGGTGAGCGTGGCGGTGAGCGTGGGCGGTGAGCGTGGGCGGTGAGCGTGGGCGGTGAGCGTGGGCGGTGAGCGTGGGCGGTGAGCGGTGGGCGGTGAGCGTGGGCGGTGAGCGTGGGCTGGTGAGCGTGGGCGGTGAGCGTGGGCGGTGAGCGTGGGCGGGTGAGCGTGGGCGGTGAGCGTGGGCGGTGAGCGTGGGCGGTGAGCGTGGGCGGTGAGCGTGGGCGGTGAGCGTGGGCGGTGAGCGTGGGCGGTGAGCGTGGGCTGTGAGCGTGGGCGGTGGAGGCAGTGGGCGGTGAGCGTGGGTCGGTGAGCGTGGGCGGTGAGCGTGGGCGGTGAGCGTGGGCGGTGAGCGTGGGCGGTGAGCGTGGGCGGTGAGCGGTGGGCGGTGAGCGTGGGCGGTGAGCGTGGGCGGTGAGCGTGGGCGGTGAGCGTGGGCGGTGAGCGTGGGCGGTGAGCGTGGGCGGTGAGCGTAGGGCGGTGAGCGTGGGCGGTGAGCGTGGGCGGTGAGCGTGGGCGGTGAGCGTGGGCCGGTGAGCGTGGGGCGGTGAGCGTGGCGTGAGCGTGGGCGGTGAGCGTGGGCGGTGAGCGTGGGCGGTGAGCGTGGGCGGTGAGCGTGGGCGGTGAGCGTGGGCGGTGAGCGTGGGCGGTGAGCGTGGGCGGTGAGCGTGGGCGGTGAGCGTGGGCGGTGAGCGTGGGCGGTGAGCGTGGGCGGTGAGCGTGGGCGGTGAGCGTGGGCGGTGAGCGTGGGCGGTGAGCGTGGGCGGTGAGCGTGGGCGGTGAGCGTGGGCGGTGAGCGTGGGCGGTGAGCGTGGGCGGTGAGCGTGGGCGGTGAGCGTGGGCGGTGAGCGTGGGCGGTGAGCGTGGGCGGTGAGCGTGGGCGGTGAGCGTGGGCGGTGAGCGTGGGCGGTGAGCGTGGGCGGTGAGCGTGGGCGGTGAGCGTGGGCGGTGAGCGTGGGCGGTGAGCGTGGGCGGTGAGCGTGGGCGGTGAGCGTGGGCGGTGAGCGTGGGCGGTGAGCGTGGGCGGTGAGCGTGGGCGGTGAGCGTGGGCGGTGAGCGTGGGCGGGGAGCGTGGGCGGTGAGCGTGGGGCGGTGAGCGTGGCGGTGAGCGTGGGCGTGAGCGTGGGCGGTGAGCGTGGCGGTGAGCGTGGGCGGTGAGCGGTGGGGCGGTGAGCGTGGGCGGTGAGCGTGGGCGGTGGAGCGTGGGCGGTGAGCGTGGGCGGTGAGCGTGGGCGGTGAGCGTGGGCGGTGAGCGTGGGCGGTGAGCGTGGGCGGTGAGCGTGGGCGGTGAGCGTGGGCGGTGAGCGTGGGCGGTGAGCGACGCTACCAGCAGGGTGAAGACGAGCATGCTGAAGAAGAGGGAGATGGGCAGGCCGATGGCCACCTTGATGGGGGTGGACATGGGGCAGTCCCCGCAGTCGGCGGGGCAGGTGGAGCACGTCTCGTCCTGCCCGCAGACGCCGTCACCGCACACTGCCAGGGACACATCACGCGGTGACGGGCACCGGCTTAGCCCCGGCACCGGTTCTACCTTGGCACTGGCAGAGTCTACGCTCACCCCAGGGCAGATTCCCTCACGGGAGAGAGATGCAAGCAGCGGAGAGGAGATGCCTCGCCCAAGGCCCCAATGCCTACGGTCCCCAGGGGCTTCTCAGGGCAGGGCCTGAGGCTGAGAAGCTTTGGGCTAAATTCGTGGGGCTGTGATATTTGATGGCGGTAACAATCACATCTCGGGGGGGGGGGGGGGGGGGGAGGCGCTATCGGGGGTCAGGTCGGGGTCACGTTGGGGTCACGTCGGAGTCGCGTCGGGGTCACATCGGGGTCACGTCGGTGTCGCATCGGGGTCGCGTCGGGGTCACATCGGGGTCACGTCGGAGTCGCGTCGGGGTCGCGTCGGAGTCGCGTCAGGGTCGCGGCGGTGTCACATCGGGGTCGCGTAGGGGTCACCTGTGGCGGGCAGCACGGTGGTCGTGGCCTCGAGTGCCGCCTGCATGTGCCCTACGCGGATGTGCGCGATGAGCGACGTCACACCGACGTGCACCAGCGTCACCTGCGGGGCCGAGCGGCACGGTGTCAGTAACGAGCAGCAGCGGTTCAGAGCACTGTGCAGCCACACCGGAGGCCCGAGTTTGATTCCCGCTCAAGGTCAACATCGGCGACGAAGACCTGAGCCGGCTTTGAGCCTTCCACTTTATTTTAATTAAAGAAACGGAATTCAGGGTGTTTTCTCTGGTAGATATCGACAAAAAAATAAATGCCAAAGATTTAGAGTCTGAAGGGGGGGGGGCAGGTGGAGATGGTGGGGGGGGGGGCGATCGCCTCCATCATCCCTCCTGCCCCTTGCAACTGCCATTGTTCTGGGTCCCTCAGATCACTCTTACAAATTTGACTATTTTAACCCCTCGAGTTTTCCCGTGGTCGAACGAAATGAACTAAAACTCACCGAGGTCAACTCAGCCTCGAACGAGTGCCTGGTGCGGTGTGTAAAAACATTGCCACTGGGGCGGTTGTGGGTGCAGGCCACACCACCCCCTCGTGTCCCATGCTCGCCTTAATAGATCAACCGCTAACAGCACGTGCCCCAACAGGCAGTGTAGGCTATATGAGAGAATTTTGTCTGTGTGTGTGGGAGTGGAGGGAGCCACTATGGGGAGCGGTGGTGTAGCGGTTTTCACGCTGCGCTACGAACCCGGCGACCCGAGTTCGATTCCCGCTCACGGTCAACACCATGGACGATGATCTGAACCGGTCTTGGGCCTCCACCCAAGGTCGCCTAAAATAAGTAGCTGGTGCGGTGTGTAACCATCGCTACTTAGGTAGACAAAGGCGGCACGGTGTGGTGCTGGCGATCCACCCCCTCGTGTGCCACAGTGCCGGTCTTCATAGGTGCTGTTACTCGCGAACAGCACTTGCTCCAACAGTCTGTTACAGGCTACACGGGTAAAGCCACTCCTTGCCTTGCCGGTCCAGTTCCTCTGGCTCATGGTGCCGGACGAGGAGAGGGTGTGCGTGAAGATCTGCCCATCATCAGGGATCCACGGGCCGCAGATGCCTCCTTTATTCTGCACAAGCCCACAGCGGCACGTGTCCCGCACACAGGGTCACCATCATCATAATCACCACCATCACCAACATCAAATAAGAATAGGCTTTACCCTTCCCGGAAATTAAACGGGAGTTGTTAAGATGTTGCAAGGAATCAAGTTACTGCATTAACCAACCACGGTACTTGTGGTGAACATGCAAACAAAACACACGCTCTGATGATTTTATATGATGCATTGTCTTTGAAACTGATTGGCCTACACCAGAGCCTTCTTTATGGCCCAGTCTCACCAGTGTCAGACCAGAGAACGCCAAAAGGCGAACAGTACACAGACCATGCACGTATCAGAGCATTTGCAGCTCGGGGTTAGCAAGAAGGTTCCATGATTAGCACAGTCAACACAACCGCCACCACCAACATCAACAACCACTCATATTCTTGGTTCTTTCGGTAAAGTCACGTGACTTTACCGAACGTGACTTTACCGAAAGAACCAAGAATATTAATCCCTGCAGTCACGAAAGCTTTAAATCAAAATCAACAACCACTGTCAACACAACCACCACCATCACTAACTCCTTCAACGCCACCAAATCATGGCCTCAACGCAGGGTGGGGGGGAGGGTGGGGGGGTGTGGCTGCTACCTTTGCCACCGCAGACCCAAAACCGGGGCCGTAAATTCTCAGTCAAGCACGAGGTCTCTCGTCGGGGTCCGTGCACTTTACCCCCACAGAGTTCAACAATTACCGGTAGCTGATGTCGGGTACGAAGCAATTCATTACACCCCGAAAACAGATGCCAATTTTCCGGTCAGGTGGCAAACCCTGGCTGGGGCACAGCTAGACTAGCTTAGGCTAGGCTGCAGCAGGCCAGGTGAGGCTTGGCCTGGGCTAGTCAAGGTCAGGCTTGGTTCATTTGAGCTGGGCTGGGGTCAGGGTGAGCCCCGTGGCGAGTCTGTTGCTGCGTGTGGGTTGAGCCCAAGTGAGTCTGGGCTGGGTGAGTCTGGGTTGAGTCGGTGACAACCAAAACTCACCCTTCCTGAGGCCCCTTCCCTTGCCTCCCCCCCCCCGTGACCCCTTCGCACCCCCATGATGTGCACCCCCCCCCACCACCCCCCGAGGAGGCCCCCTGTCTGACCATGAAGGACAAGGGGCACGAGTGGATGTTGGCGTGGTGGATGCAGCAGTTGTCCTCGTTGGCGTCGTTCCAGTTGGAGGGGCACTCCTGGTCGCAGAACTTCATCGCCTCGCTCACGTTGTTGCTGCGAGACACGCGACGACGTGGCGGCGGTGACGGTGCTGCAGGTGGTGGCGGTGGAGACGGTGACGGTCGTGTCGATACTGGTGGTGTAGGTGACGGTGGTGGAGGTGACGGTGGTTGGAGGTTGACGGTGGTGGAGGTGTTGATGGTGGAGATGACGGTGGTGGAGGTGATGATGGTGGAGGTGACGGTGGTGGAGGTGACGGTGGTTGGAAGTTGACGGTGGTGGAGGTGTTGATGGTGGAGGTGACGGTGGTGGAGGTGATGATGGTGGAGGTGACGGTGGTGGAGGTGACGGTGGTTGGAGGTGACGGTGGTGGAGGTGATGATGGTGGAGGTGACGGTGGTGTTCGTGATGATGGTGGAGGTGACGGTGGTGGAGGTGACGGTGGTTGGAGGTGACGGTGGTGGAGGTGATGATGGTGGAGGTGACGGTGTGGAGGTGATGATGGTGGAGGTGACGGTGGTGGAGGTGACGGTGGTTGGAGGTGACGGTGGTGGAGGTGACGATGGTGGAGGTGACGGTGGTGGAGGTGACGGTGGTTGGAGGTGACGGTGGTGGAGGTGATGATGGTGGAGGTGATGGTGGTGGAGGTGATGATGGTGGAGGTGAAGGTGGTGGAGGTGACGGTGGAGATGGTGATGGTTGTGTCAATTCTGGTGGTGTAGGTGACGGTGGTGGAGGTGATGATGGTGGAGGTGATGGTGGTGGAGGTGGCGGTGGTCGAAGTGTATAGGCGCTGGTGGTGTAGGTGTAGATGCTGCTGGTGCACATTCTGGTGGCGTAGGTGACAATGGAGGAGGTGATGATGGTGTAGGTGATGGTTTTGGTGATGGAGGTGTAGGTGATTGTTTAGGTGATGGAGGTGTAGGTGATGGTTACACTTTTTTCGCACTAAAGAGTAGCCAACCGTGCTGTAATGGTGTAAGTGATGTTGGTGTAAGTGATGGTGGCGTAGGTGATGATGTGGGGAGCGGTAGTGTAGCGGGTTAGCGACGCTGCGCTACGAACCCAGCGACCCAAGTTAGATTTCTGCTCACGGCCACCAACACCAGTGACGATGATCTGAACCAGCCCTGGGCCTCCCCTAGGTCGACCCAGCCTCGAATGAGTAACCCTGGTGCGCTGTGTGAACATCATCGCCACTGGGGGAGACAAAGGCGGCTGGGCGTGGTGCTGGCCACCCACCCCCTTGTGTACCGTTCAGGCCTTTATAGGTGCAATGGTAACAGCACTTGCCCCTACAGTCTGTTCAGGCTACACGGGGGATCTTTGACTTTTTTTGGTGGTGGTGGTGGGTTGCTCAGGTGACCTCCTCCTCCTCCTCACCTAATGCGCAGGATGTGGTTCCGCACCGCGTAGTCGTAGAAGTCCGGCGAGGCTGTGACGAGGTAGGTCACCTCGAACTCGTGTCCACTCGCCACGCGCAGCGGTGGCCTCTTCAGCCACGCCATCTCCAGGCCTGACGACGCCACCGCCACCAACAACAACAACAATGACGACGGCAGCCATTCGCCACTCAAGTGGCGGTGAGGTCACCGGGGCGCTTGTGCCGGGCCACGTGGTACTTCCAGCGCCACGTGGAAGCGCCGAACGCGTCGAACGCTTCCACGTGGTAAAGAACCCCCCCCGTGTAGCCTCTAACAGACTGTTGGGGCTAAGTGCTGCTAGCAAGCAGCAGCGCCTATGAAGGCCGGCACTGTGGCACACGACGGGGTGAGGTGGCCAGCACCGCGCCACGCCCGCCTTTGTCTCTCCCCAGTAGCGATGTTTACTACACACCGCACCAGGTACTAATTTTGAGGCTGAGTCGACTTAGGGGAGGCTCAGGACCGATTGAGATCATCATCACCACTGTTGGCCGTGAGCGGAAATCGACGCACTGCGCCCAAAGCTCTCCCCACACACTCTTCACCATCCTCTCCACACGCACAATCGTATCCACACAAAGTACTCTCTCTCTCTCTCAGACACAGCCATGCACACGCAGCCTGTAGAGGTGAGTGTAGAGGTGACATGTTGTATCTCTAGGTGAGTGTAGAGGTGAGTGCAGAGGCGTCGAGGTGGGCGCAGAGGGGACTGGTGTACTATTTGTAGGGCGTGTAAGGGGTTTAGGGCGAGCGAGTCGCGGGCGCCCTCGCCTCCGCAGTCGATCATGTTGAACTCATTGGGCTGTGCCAGCGGCCAGCAGTCGTACTCGAGGTTGTCGAGGTCGTGCCACGCGGCCGCTACTCGGGCCCACAGCAGCAGCAGCAGCGGCAGCGCCTGCAAGGGGTCAAGGGCGGGGCAGGGGTCAAACCCCAGGCCTCGGTGCAGTGCAAGGCCGTAATCTCCATATATATAAAAGGCAAAGTTGTGAATATGTTAGTTTAGTTCCATAGTTTATTTATTTTGTATAGCCCTGTGAGCCATTCGGCTCTTGAATCGGGTGCAACCGCAACAAACAAAAACATGAACAAGAAAACATCTTAAAGTGACTATGTGTGACTGTGCAAACAGAAAATCCAGGAAAAAAACATAAAAATATTCCTCAAATAGCACCGTACACCAACGCTGTGTGCAAAAATCTCAGTGGGATGCAAGTCAAATAACAACAACAACCACAAGACAATTAAGATTAAGGCCATCAGTCTAACTGCGTACTACAATAAACAAAAATATGGCTAAAACAAAAAAACACATTTTCGAAATCACCAAAATAAAAGCCATAA